GCCTGCTCACACTCCTCGTGCCTGGCCTGTCCCCACAAGGGTGGTTACTCTGACACGACCTACTGCACAGTATCTCTGCAGCCATCATAATAACCATTTACCCCCACAAACCACCACAGAAACACAGAATCATAGAGTACTTTGGGTTGGAAAGGAATTCTAAAGATCATCTAATCCACTCCCCCACAATAAGCAGGGTCATCTTCAACTAGATCAGGTTGCTCAGAGCCCTACCCAATCTGATGTTGAATGTTTCTAGGAATGGGGCATTTACCAACTCTCTGGGCAACATGTTCCAGTGCCTCACCACTCTTATAGTGAAGAATTTCTTCCTAATATCCAATCTAAATGTACCCTCATTCAGTCTAAAGCCACTACCCCTTGTCCTATTGCAACAGGCCCTGCTAAAAAGTTCCCCTCCAGCTCTCTTGTAGGCTCCCTCTAAGTACGGGAAGGTGCTATAAGATATCTCCAGAGCCTTCTCTCCTACCAGCTGAGTAACCCCAGCTCTCTCAGCCTGTCTCCACAGAAGAGGTGCTCCAGCCCTCTGATCATCTTCATGGCCCTCCTTTGGGCCCCCTCTAACAGGCCCATATCTTCCCTGTGCTGAGGATCCCAGAGTGGGGTCTCAAGAGAGCAGAGTAGATTAGAACTCAACCAGGTGGCTTGATACAGTACAGGGGACAGTTGGCTTTCTGGGCTGCAAAGTACTCCTTGCTTTCAAGGCTTACAAAATGGCACGTGGTCAGCACAAGCTACTCTTGACTCCTATTTAAGTAGCTTCAGGGTGACTATGAAGACAGATAAAAAGTCCCACTGGACATCTCCAAAATTTGCCTTGAAGCATGCCTCAACTACCGATGACCTGTTACTTAATAAACAACATCACTTGCTCTCAAAAAAAACCCCAACCAACCTGTTTCTCCCCTCACCATGGCCAGGAAGAAGCTTTTTGTGTAGTGTTAACTTTCAGCTTCTCAGGCAGCAGGGCTGGTGGTACAAAGGAGAAGACAGGATTCACAGTAAAGAAGAGGAAAGCCTGGACTATCTCTTGTGTCAGCAGTCCCCCTCAGAACAGTTTAAGTTGCATGTGGAGCTGAAAGGATATCTATGGATACCAACAGACAGAGCAGCCTCCACTGGTCATTAACAACTGCTACAGACTGACCAGGAGGACCTTTGCAAACTAACCAGGCAGAGCATGCAGCCCTCAGGAGATGCTGAATTCACCATGAAGGTTAGTTGTCTGAAAGGTCTGTGGTGGCCATCGACCTAAATGTGGTTATCATCCACAACCTAATAAATGTATTTCTTAGGACAGGCTGTCACAGCTTTTGAATGTGCTTGCTTTTCCACAAGGTTACATAAACAGCTTATGGTATAGGAATAACTTACCTGACCAAGAGGTGCTAAAGGTAGGAAATTCCACTCCTTGGGAGTTTAGCCCAAAATTGTTTCAGAAGTGGCAAGATACATACCTACTAGTATGTAGGTTCAGACACCTCAACAAAGTTCTCTGTGTGATGAAGGAAATAAGCACTGGAGAAGTCAGTGAGTCAGGTTTCTGTCGGCTGCTTCACGTCCTGTACACTGTGGTCTCTTTCCTGCTGCTGGACTGACAAGTGTTTTGCCTGGCCCAGCCTTTAAACACGGGGATGAAGGGTGACAGAACAAAGACTACAGTCAAAGACCAATCCAAACCATTCCCAAGCTGTCAATTTCAGGATGGACAGGCATACAGCTAAGGATGCTACACTTTATTGATCACTACAAATAAAAATAAGAACTGCATAAATATAGGAGAAGTACAAACTGCTGAGAGCAAGTGGCAATCAGCACCCTATGATTGATAGAACTGAGCACGTATAGACAGGTTTTGCCAAGGCTATCCAGCTCCAAGAGGAGAAAGAATAATATTTTTATATATCTAAATTATCTTTTAGGTTCAGAAATCCAAGGCAACAATTCCAAATTTGCATATACAAGATGCCCAGCTTCCAGAAACAGCACAGGTCCCTGTTAGTGGAGGAAGCCACGCAGGGCTCTTGCTCAACCACTGTCCCTTTAGGCACACTGGCAGGAACAATGGAAGATACTCTGGGATATGCCTTTGCTGGACCAGGTGTACCAAAGTCTTAAGCCAAGGTTGGTCCAGCCCTTGCAGCAAGTCATGTTGGCAAGGCAGCAGGCATATCTAGCAGCTCTCACATCCCCTGTGCTATCACCCTCTAAATGCAACAGTACCACATGCCCCCACAACCTCATCCTGCTTTATCAACTTACAGACTAAAACCTGCATTTCAGCTAGCTAGAACTATCTATCCGCACTTTTATTTGAATCCAGGATGTGAAAAGAACATCCTACTTCCAGAGTCTTCAGTGGACATCAGGGTAAAAGCAGCAGAAGTATGAGTCCCGCACTTCAAGATCCCTGCCCTCCTCATGTGCCGGAGGACACCACCCCCTGCCCTCCACACACAGACATCTCAGGCCCCTATGGGACACAAGCGAATGATGGCTGCACGCTTCAGGCTATCCCAAAGTGTCCTGTCAGTGGTCCCTCTGCTCTTAACCTAAGGAGGCTCCAGCTCCAGCATCTTCACTGACCCCAAGCACTGACAAGCAGCCCTCTGTGTACTTCTAACTCCACAAAGGCTAATAGTTATTAATTTTAGAGCGGCTTCTCAATCAGGTGAAGCAGAACTGTGAGGTGCAGCAGTAAAGCAGAGTAATGACTGAATACCAAAAAGAAAGGGAGAAAATTGAATATGTTTATTGGCAATGGATATTTTAGTGTAATTTGCGTGATTTGGATGCTTGGAAAAGGGATACATAACCATGCAGGGAAAACCACACACTTCCTAGCCTATTCTTGACTATCAGTCAGAAGATGCTCTCTTTGTGTTCTCTGCTCTCCGGCACCTTAATGCTAAAACCAATTTCCTCTTTCAAAGACAAAAACATCCTTCCACTCTTTTCCTTCAAAATATGAACTGCTGCAGGCCAGGCCACCTCATCAGCAGTAAAAGCAGTGTCTTTTTCTCACCACTGTGGCCTTGTTAATCTCAGACATACTAACACGTTCTTGCGATTCCTCGTTATATTCCTCAATGTTTGTCACTGTCTAATTTTTAAACCAACTAAGATAAAACCAGACATTACAGACTTTTCCAATGAGAGATTATGCCAATAATTTGTTTTTCACACATTACAGCAAATGTCCTGTGTTTGCAGCACTACATACATAACATATATTAGCTTTAAACAGCCCGAGTTACTCACAATTCAAGTGACTCATAGAATCATAGAATCATAGAATAGGTAGGGTTGGAAGAGACCTCCAAGATCATCAAGTCCAACCCCTGATCCAACTCCAATTACTATATCATGGCACTAAGGGCCACGTCCAATCTCTTTTTAAAAACCTCCAGGGATGGTGAATCCACCACCTCTCTGGGTAGGCCGTTCCAATGTCTGATAACCCTCTCTGTAAAGAATTTTTTCCTAACATCTAACCTAAACCTCCCCTGGCAGAGCTTGAGCCCATGTCCCCTTGTCCTATTGTTGGTTGCCCGGGAGAAGAGACCAACCCCCGCCTGGCTATAACCTCCCTTCAGGTAGTTGAAGAGAGTGATGAGGTCGCCTCTAAGCCTTCTAAGCCTTCTCTTCTCCAGACTCCTACTGATCTGTTTAAAATGGATAGTAAATGTATTGAATCAGTGTGTTTCAGGAATTCAGAGCACTGCCTGCAAGATCTACAAAGAGACAAAACAGTGCTAGATTGGGACTGTTGGGAAGGATTGAGACTTGTTTCTAATCCATCTGGGATTTAAAATAGCTCATGGAAATAGCTATCATGTACAGTAGCACTTTTCAGCTAGTGATACATGAAAATTGATTGTGTGAAAATACATTGTTTCCAAAATCCTGCAAACATGTAAGTAATGAGATAAAATTCAAACTGACATAAATTTCAGCGTGTGAAAAAGACTGTTTTATTTAGCATCAGATTAAAAAAACCCCAAATACATAATAATATTTAACAAGATCTGAAGACATCTCATGCCGCCTAGGTCAAGACACACTATTTTTTAAATCAAAGAGCAATATTACACACCTCTCATCCTTGTGATACTTCATCACTAAAATGGAAAAGATCTTAAATTGAACCCACCCTGTAATTCACTTCTTAGAAGGTAGAGACTTGTTTTCTTGTGGCAAAAGGTATTTTTACAGTATCTTGCAGAACTGTACTCTGTCCTAAGTCACTTGTCTCTATTTACCTCTTTGCATCCTTACTGCAGATACAATTACATACCTAATAGGTCATTTCCACCATGTTCAAGTGATTTAACACAGGTTTCACCCCTTCCGAACCCACTGGGGTTTTACCTGAAGTAGATGTACGTGGCTTCTCAAGAGGCCATTTTCCACAGCACTTCTCTTCAAACAATTCTTCCTCCACTTTCTGCTTCCCGCTGCCACCTGGGTACTTTTCTCCCAGCCGCACAAGCCATCGTCCCTTTCTAGCACTCTGGGTTGCGGAGACGGACAATCAACTCTCCCCCATCTGCCGCTGGGGGGTATATCCCCGCATCCTTCAGGCTACCTACACGCCGTGAGGGATCCCATCACCTCCTTCTCCCACTAGGTGCTACCCACTGAGCGTGTTTACATCCCTCAGTCCTGTGATTTCTTTTTTGGCTTTTAACAACGCGGCTCAGCCGGACTCCGGCAGGGCCTCTCTTCCAGCATTTATGGTACACCCGAGCACAGTCTCCTGTAGTCCCAGGTGTCCGCCGGCAGCCAAGAATCGGGATCCGGGATCCAGGATCGAGGCGCTGCCCACAGCCTCCGCTCTCCCGCGCCTCACGGAGGCGCGCGCCTGGAGCGGGAGGGAGTGGGGAGGGAAGGGGAGGAGAGGGGCGGGATGAGCCCGGCGCTCCGCCCCCCGCCCGCGTGCCCGCGCGCCCGCGCGCGCGCCCCCCGCTCCGTGACCCATTTCGCCGAACAAAGGATTTTCGCTGGAATCTTTCTCGGCGCCGGGACCTAAAATGGCGCCGGCGTGGCCGCCCCCGCCCCTTCCGCGGGCGCCATAGAGACGGGGCGGGCGGAGCGGCCGCTCCTCGGCGCCGCTCTCCACGCGGGCGCGGCCTCGGCTCGCTGGTGCGGGCGGGAAGGCGCTGCCGCGTCATGGCGGGCGAGGGCGACTCTGAGCCGAGGAAGGTAATGGAGGGGGGGTGGAGAGGGGCGAGAAGGAGGAGGAGGAGGAGGAGAATGAGGAAGAGCTGCGCGGGTACCCGTGTCTCCGCGGGAGCCCTGCGCTGGGGACATGGGAGGTTGTCGCAGAGCAGCCGTGACCCCCACACCCGCTGTTTTATCTCCAGAGGAAATAATTAGGGAACAATACACGGAAACCCACGGCAGAACTGAAGCTCTGTAGGGCCGAATGGGTGGGGTAGGGGGTTGTGTGTGTTTGTTTTCCCCCGGACCGCCCCGTGGGACTTTCTCTCTGTGAGCGAAACGCCGTCGTGACACTCGAACCTCCTTAACGCCGGTGGTTACAGTGGTTAGAGACATAACAAATGATTTCCAGTTCGGCAACAGGTGAAATGCTATTTTAAAAGAGTGCATCATGCTACACAGATGTAGCAGGGATACCTCCTTGGCCAACAACAGCAGCATATCCAGTGACTTCTTCCATGTGAGAGTAGACCACATCCTTTCTGTCTGGCGTGTACACAGGGATTATGTGGAAACAGCTGATAGTTTTCCATAGGGAACGTGGATAAAACTAACGATGGGGATTTCCATACTTGCATACAAATCCAGCTGTTGTCAGATGCTTGTCATCCCTATTACCACAGCTTTGTGATGACTTGTCTCAGAGATGTCGGCCCTCCACGAACAGTTGATTGTAGTTCTCCATCTTTAAAATCCACTTTGACCAAGTAGAATACCTTTACAAAAAATAAACCAGTCATCTTTGATGAATTTAGATACAGTTGCACACATGGCACTTAATGCTCTCAGGATTTAAAAACAGAATGAAGATGTATTCTTGGACCATCACTGACAAAAGAATGATAGCAGAAAGATGTGCAGATGTTACTGCGGTGCAGCCACCTTGACCCTGACTCACGTCATCTTGAGGCTTCTTTTTTGTATGCAGTTTCTCACTCCTGCTTGTGGTGCCAGCCTGCATTTGCAAGGATGTTTGTCAGGTGGGAAGTAGGAATTACATGCAGAAGCCAGAGTAGGCGTCTCTGAAATGAAAATCATACTTTTCAGTTTGCAGTTGACTTTGTGAATGCCACATGTAATTGCCATTTGAGTGAAATAAAAGGTCAGTTTATAGATAGGAGACAGGATATGTAGTAGTTTGATTTTTTTTTACCAGTAGGTTAATTAAAAAAATTACTCATTATGTATAGAAGAATTTCTGTGCCCAGCCCCTGTCTGTACATAGGGTTAGGTTAAAAATTACTGATTTATAAACATTTTCATTCACTGTTCAGTACAAGGTTCTCTATTATATGCTTATTTTGTAGTAATTTCACTTTTTTTAAAAGCACATTTGCCTTCTCAGATACTAAAATTACATGGCATAACTAACCATGTACTTGATTGTAACCTTATTTGTGTATTGTGATGTAACAAAAATCCTGCATTCTTAAGGGTTTTCTCCCTTCCTTTTCTGGGGAATGTAAAGGGGAAAATTAAGTAGTCATTTTATAATATTCAGTAGAAAGGATGGATCAACAGGTTTGTAGAAAATTATGTTGCATAAATTAGTAGTTAATTCTTCCAAAACTATTCCTGATACAGCTGTGCTTGTTCACTTTTCCTCAGCTATAACTGTGCAAGCAGTAAATCCTCAAGTGGTTGTATTTGACTACTAAAATAACAAGTCAGTTTTAGAATGGAGTTGGCATCATAGACTTCTACAAAAGTGATTTTTTAAAGTTTATGGTGTGTTTTTTGTTGTGTCTTACAGTCCTTTAAACTCTTGGGATTTCTTGATGTTCAGAGTGTCCCATGTGCCCGAGAATCCGTGCTCTATGGCTCCCTGGGGTCTTTAGTTGTGGGTCTTGGACATTTTTTAGCAACTAGTAAGTACTTATTCCTTCTGGTTATATATTTATTTGTAAGAAAAAAAATTTATTTGCTGTTAAGTGTTATTAATAATGGGAAGTCATCCAAGGCTTTTTTTCCTCTAACTTTTTGGAGGGTTTTTGTTTTTTTTTTTCTTAGGTAGAGTTAGAAGATCTTGTGACTTTGCAGTTGGTGGCTTTATTTCCACAATGTTAGGATACTGGTATGTAAAATGCTTCTTCAATTTTAACAGGCATGTGTTGGCTGAACTGTACTACATGATCCCCATGTTTGTTTTCAGAAACAGTATTGCACACTGCTTTTGAAACTCCATTAAAAAACTTGCCTAGCAAAGCATCCTCTTCCTTCTCCCCAAGATATTTCTCTTTTTTAAAGGGAAACAGTTCAATGTGAGTGAATTTTTATGTTCATATATTTTTAAAAAACTTGCTATTGTTTCTTGAATCCTAAGAGCTCAAGCCACCCAGTTATTTCCATTTTTCTTAATTCTTTCTTTTTTTCCTTTGCATATGCCATCCTTCTGTCCTAATTCCAAAGGCAGCATGCTGAATTTTACTAGCATTTTTATATGTGACCGCAACGTTTCAACTGGCTGAATAAGTCTGATTTGATACTGTGACTCATATAAGGCAGGGAATCATGTTTTCTTTTCATACCCCCCCTCTAGGTTTTACTGCAGGTACAATTTGGCTCAACAAAGGATTCGGCAAAGAATGCTTAAAGAAGGAATGAAAAACAGAATGTTATTTGAAGGCAGTTATCTTGATCCAGAAAAAAAACAAACTGGCAATGAAAGAAGCGATTCATAGGCTGCTGTGGAGGAGTTGTGGTCTAATACAGCTTTGGGAGAAAGTGGTCCAAAGATGTCAGTCTGCCTTGTAAACGTGTGAGGTGTCTAAAACTGACAAATCGTGGTTTTCCTGGCAAATCTGAGCAAGAAATTCATAGTGAATCTTTTAAGTCTGTACAAGCCTTGCTTTGTTTCATGTATGTATGTATGTGTGTGTGTGACTGTGCGCATAGTTAGGAATTACTTCCTGTGAAACATCTGGGAACTGATGTGTTCTGTTACAGAGAGGATTAACGGCAGTGATTTGGGACTGCTTTTAGCTTCCATTGTAAACAGAGTGGTTCATTTTAGCAAAGTTGTAATTACATCTCATTTAAATACAGGAAAATATTTTCATCAGCTGTTCAGTAAGTGTATCTTCAGTGCTACTGTTAACAGTGCTGTTTGTAAAACACAAGTATTTAAACAGTAGATGAAAGCTTTGCTTGTGCAAGATGGGTGAGATCAGCGGCCTTTGTAAGATTTCAGCTGCAGGATAACCAGATAACTTACATACACTGTGTAGTTGAAGGATTTCCATGTTTGTTCTGTCTATATGAAACTAAGAATAAAATCTGAATAAAATTCAGAAGCAATCTAAATTATGTAAATAAGTAATTTTTTTACTTGATTAAAAATCTTGCTATTTAAGACAATCCCTACAGTTGTGGAATAATAATTTACATTATTTGTAAGTACCAATGGTCAGTAGTTTGTTCTTGTGTTGTTTTTTTTAAAGGCGTGTTCTACTTAACTATTTCACTGTACATTTTATGGTTAAAAGGAATATGACTATAATTTCAAGGAAACCATCTTATTTGGAAATACAGTTTTAGGTCTAATTGAATGTTGTTAAAAAGATGAGTGATGACATCATGTTCCTTGCTTGCTTCTGTCTGCAGGATTGACACACTGTATTTATTTTTTCATAAAATGATTTATAGCCTATAATGCTGTAAGAATTTTTTGGTCTAAAGGCATTCACTGAGCAAAAATAGTCCTTCCCCCCATTCTGTACTTAGTCTGAGAGAGTTTGTGATCTGTTACTGACTCAGGGGGAAGGTTTGAGACTCCAGATGTAAACAGCAGTATTGCTCTACTTATTTATTTATTTGGAAAACATATGCGAGAGCACTAAGCAAACATGCTGTTTACACTGAAAAAATTAAACTTTTACCCTCTGTGGATTGGCCTCATACAAGAAGAAAACAAACCTGCATAATCTAATTTTTTTTTTCCCCCTCTATTCCTCTTGTTTCTTCTGGAGGAAAAAATAAAGATACATTTTATTGAGGACATTAATTCCAGTATTTTATATAAAAAATGTTCAGAAGACTTCAGTTAGTGCAATGAAACACTTCCTGTCCTCACTGCAAAATCTGAACTCAGAAGTGAAATGGTAGCTGATTCAGGAAAGTGTTTCCCCTGGGTCTGCGCTGGGCAGGGGGCCAAGGAGGGGGGAGGCTCCTTCCCTTTGGAATGGGAGGTGTTGCTTCATAAAGCCCTTAGAGCAGCAGTGGGAAACTGAGCGAGCCATGAAGCAGGTCTTAGCAAGCTCCTGTTTTAATACATGGTTGAGTTCTCTCCTATCTGACATGAGAAAAGAAAATGCAATCTAAGGAGGGGGTCTTTTGGCTGTGAGGTCATAGTTCAGCTTAGAGGAGTTTAGGCAACAAAAGCACGGGGATGAAAATTTACTCTTTGGCAAAGAGCAGTAGTAGAGAAAGAAGAGGATGGTGTTCTGTGCTGATGGGAAAGGAGGGAGCATGTGCATCATGGCATCCTTCAAAACACACAAGTACTGTGACTGATTAGGAGAAAAGAGAAGCATTATGATACTGTGTAAATCAAAAAATCTGAGGAAAACTGCAGCATTAAATCCTCTCTGGTGTTAATTGGTGTTGGTTTAAGTAACTGCATTTAAGGATATTAGCTCAGTAGCAGCTTAACTACAGTATTAGCAATTCTGGCCAGTAACTGTGAAATGCTAGGTGTATTTGCATTGTGTAGATAACCAATGTAATACTTCTGCTTCACTGTGCAGAATGTAAAATGAGCCTGCCAGATGTTGACAGAAAAATGGGGAAAGAGGCAATATGCAGAGGCAGCCTGGCCAACACGTTTGAGCTTCAGTATGTACTAAAACTTGAGGTAGAATTGAGCTAACTAAAAGTCGGGTCTTTTGCTGAATAGGACAGGGTGGAGATATAAGACAAGGAAGCTGTGAGCAGGACTTGGTGTGAAAGGAGGGGCCTGCAGCAGCAGAGGGAAGAATGCTTATGGCTAAACATGCAGGGGAAAATGTCTCGCATAATTCCTGAAAGTGCTGGCTAGGCTGCTTCCCTGCCAGCTGTGGAAAGTGAATTGAAAGTGACTGATGGGCTACCACATTGAAAAGGTGAGGGATTGGATAAAACAAAAAAATCTCAAAGCTATTAGTTGTCATAAATTAGGATACATGGATAAGAAAATAAAAATTACAGCAACTTTATAGAAGTAATTTTAACATTTGAAAACAATTACATAACTGTTTTTTAAAAATTAGTGAGCTGTATCGCTGCTTATTTCTGAAATCTGAGTTATTGGTGGAAATACATACTAAGCCTCTGTATTTTATTTTCAGACTTGATCTCTTTAAGTGTTGTTGCTAATGACATGTGATAGTTTTTGCTTTCTCGATGTTCAAAATATTCCTTCAATTAAAACTTACCAGAAAGTTACTAGAAAGGAAGAGAAATAGTGATTTTGAAGATGCTTGGTTTTCAGCCCTCTGAATGAGCCATAAGAAGGGAGAGAATGAAGTACAGCAACTTGAAACTGTAGAGCTGTTAAAATCCTGTTCATTTTACTGACAGGTATGTCAGTTGGTCACTGCACAGTGACTGACAAGCACACTCAGTTTTTATCCCTGAAGTTAGTAAAATCCTTCCTTAAAGCAGCCTACAACACCAGCAAAATAAAGAAATGGGTTTATGGCCCCCGTAGCTCCTCCACACCTTGTCTCTTCCTGTTCCTTGCAGTGGTGATACTCTTGGGAAAAGGTGTGTGCCAGCCTCCTCCGGCAGGAGCGCACGCTCGGGACACTTGCGCAAGGGCACTGTGTGTCCTCCAGGTCCTTCAGGAAGGAAAGTGCCTGTTGAGGCAACAGGGTGAAACGTGGCAATCCAAGGTTAATTGCCAACCCCACTGCCAGAGATGTACATTAGCAGATTGACTCTGCTCTTCAGTGCCTCTCACTGAAGCAGAGGTCTTGCCTCAGCCATCGACAGCTGCAACAGGCTCAAAACTCAGGAACTCTTTTGAAGGTGACAGGAGAGGCAATTACAGCTTGTTACATCCCAAACTCATAATTTACGTCTTTACGCAGGCAGTGATTTTTGGGAGGCATTGCCCCTTGCTGCATTTTGCAGACTTCCAGGCTATTCTGTGTGTGTCACACAGACCCAAGTCCTCGGGTGCTGCAAAGGAAAGGTCATCTCCTGTCACTGGGTCTGGCTTTTGGTAGGTTTTTTTTTTTAAGGCCTGGAGGAAGCACGTTTGTTATTTCTGGTGTAAGCAACCCAGGTAACAATGAAGTACTGTGTGAATGCAGTTGTAATGAGGTCCCAAGCGAAAGATTTTCTCCAACTTAGTAGACTAATTCCCATACTTCTCTCATTCTGTCCAGGCATTTAGATCAAGAGCTAAGTGGTTACTAGTGAAAGTTTTTGCTATGTTCCATTTAAAGTTTGAAACAAATACGTTGTTCTTGTCATGAAAAAGTGATCAAACCAAAAGTTTTACAGTATGTTCAGATATCAGGAAGATGATCCTTTGATGCTTTTTTTTTCTAATTGAAGTACCAAGAATTTATTAAATATCAGAAATGGAGCTGAGTTTTAATTAAGGTGACTCAAGGCCTTGGAATATATATCCTTCTTACACTTAAAATGAAAATATTATACTATAAACAAGTACGGCTGCTAAACCTTCAAATGGAGGCGGGGCAGCAGGCTGATGAGGGGTAGAACTTTGGATGAGACAATTTGAGGAATACTCAGACCTTTGTTTGTGGCTAACAGCACCCTGCCTAAGACTGTTCATAGGCTCCCACTTTTTCACACACTCTTTGTTTCTTCTCTGCTTAGGTTCATAGTTTGCCTGAGAGCCATCCAGCAGTGGGTCTGCCTGTTCCTGCAGGAATAGGTCACGGCATCCTTATGTCTGCTTGTTTTAAAGATTAAGAGCAGTTTGTTCTGAGGCTATTTTAATCCTTCCAGCTTCTGTCATCTATCATGAGCAAGGCTGCATCAGAACCTTCAATTTTCCTGAACATGCCAGGAACCCACTGGCAGTACCTAAAATGTACTGTGGGAGCAAACAATTACCACTGCAGGGATCCTTTTCTTTAGACTGGCCACATCTCCGAAAATATCCAGCCTGTATATTGTGCTGATCTGTTTAACAGAACCAAAGGTTCCCCCTCTTCCTGCTCTGGAGAGAAGGAAACACATGCTTTGCTTGTTGTTTAAACTCGTTTATTTTGTCAAATGCTCTAAAATAGAGCAGCAGGTGTGCTCTTGGCCAACATGAGTTTTCTCCCTGGAAAACAGATCCTCATCTCCTGCTGATGGCAAATGGCTTGTGATCAACTCTGGTGGTCACAGTGTGACACACCTTGGCCTTCAGTCCTGCATATGTATGTGACAGGTCTTTGGAGTTCACTTATAAGCTTTACAACTCTGGCTTATATTCCTGCTTTCTGTCATGCAGGTCAAGGGTTCTTACCACTTTTACTTTTGCCAGGTGGCAAAAAACAGTGAGAAAAATCTTCTTCCACCACCTCATCACTATGACACTGCACACATGCTGTGGAAACAGGATGAGAGATCCACCCAGCCCATCTGCCTGTTGCTCCTTGAACTGAAGAAATTCACGGTCCGGGTGCCCACAATCCCCGCCAACAGAGCATTTAGGGTATGTTGCTCATGTGATTAAAGGGAAGCTAACATCCCTGTCTGAAAACATTTAGGCTCTGGCTGAGATACTAGCAATATTGCTGAAGATGAAAAGCAAATAACAGGTTTATTACTGGGCAGATACATTACCACAAATGGCTGTTGCAGGAATCCTTCACAGAGCAAATACAGAGGGAAAAAGCCAGCCAACAGCCTGTTCCTCGAAATAGAGGGGATAGTACCCTGTTCAGGTCCCCCAAAGAAATCCGGAACTACCAGTGATTGTTACATGCTGTGCTTATAGTGCTTTCATCCAAGATATAAAGCCCTTGAGGGTTGCCCTGAGGCAGCACTGCAGAGGCCATGACATAACTTGTTTGACTCGGTTTCTTAGCTCTGATAGTAGTATCGCAGTGCCATCTTCTTCAGTAACTGCCTACTAAGACTCCCAAATGGATGAAAAAAGCAAAAGCTCAGCCTTTTCTTCCTACATCTCACAAAGTCCCCTTGAACCACCAGAGGGGGTAGAAGGCTTCCCACCCCCGCTAACAAGCACAGTGCTACTCCCCTTCCCAAAAGCCAGTCACCATTTATTTCTACTCACCATTTTCTGTATCACCATTCATCCTTCTGCTAGGGACACCATGTCTCAGTCTGTACATCTC